CCGCCCTGCTCGCCCGCCCGCCCGCCCGCCCGGCTGGCTGGCTCCCTCCTCCCCCTTCCTCCGGGCCCTGCCTCCTCCCTCGATCCGGGGCTGGATGACTGAGGCATTTCAGACCAGGGCTGAGCGAGCGCCAGCGAGCTCTGGGGCTGCGGCGATCTCTCGATAAGCCACCTAGAGGCGACTCGGTGCGCGCGCTCCCCAGTGGCTCCCCGCCCTCCCTCTGATCATGTTGACATATCCACAGGACAGGCCGTAGTACCGAGGCGCGCTGCGACGTTACAGTTTCCGACACCTTCTTTTTATAACTCGGCTCTATCCCCCAGCACTCGACCTGTGAAAACCACGCCTATGCAGCAACACAATTGGTCCGAAAGCGTCAAAGAGCCAATCAAGAGGCCTCCGGCTCCCCGCAGCCCACAGCCGAGCCCTACCTCCTAGAGCCGCCGAGCAGACGCCCGGGGAATTCTAGAGGCGGAGGACGGTGGAGAGCAGCTCTCGCTCGCTGTCTCCCGCTCCCTCCCTCTCCTCGCGCTCCCTCTCCCACTCGGACTCTCTCTCTCCCTCCTTCACATTTTCCCCTCGTCAGTCCTCCCTGCCCTGCGCGTCGGGACGCAGATTTAGGACGCGAATTCGCTCACGTTTTAGGACAAGGAAGAGGCGCTGGAGAAGAGCGCGGCCAATTCGGATCGAAACCGAGACACCCTCCGGAGGCTCGGAGCAGAGGAAGGAGGAGGAGGGCGAACGGAAGCCCGTGTGCAGTTCAAGTTTTGATAGCGCTGCTAGAAGAGGGCTTAAATCAGAGCCTTTTTTTCCCCTCCCGGAGAGAGACTTTTCCGCTCCCCGGCTCGCTGCTGAAGCCGACGCCAGGCGCAACTGCAGGCGCCTCTGGCGAGCCAGAGGGAGAGGAGAGATAGGGGGGTGGGGGGAGACGGAGCAGAAGAGGCAAAAAGTCTCCTAGGAGAGCCGTTCTCGTTTGCTGCGGAGAACGGGGGGCTGGGGAGCGATTCCTGGGACCCGGGACTGGAGTGTCTATTTCGAGCCTAGCGCGGGGGCTCCGGCGCGAGCCGAGACCCAGCCGGCGCCTCTCGCTTCTGGAACCGACTTCCAGGAGCGGCTTTTTAAAAACGCCAGGCGCTGGGACAGTCACCCTGCCGACTATGTCTGCTGACTTCTCGCCTTGCGCTCTGTAGAAGCGGAATTTCCCTTTCCCAAAAGACACTTCGCTCCTTCCTTGAAGGTGCTTTGGTGGTGAATTTTTTACTTTTTTTTCCTTTTTAAAAAAAATACAAAACTATGTGCTGCTGTTAAAAAACAACAACAAAACAAAACAGCAGCTGCGGACTCGTCCCCGGCTGGAGCCCAGCGCCCCGCCTGGAGTGGATGAGCCTCTCCATGAGAGATCCGGTCATTCCTGGGACAAGCATGGCCTACCACCCGTTCCTACCTCACCGGGCGCCGGACTTCGCCATGAGCGCGGTGCTGGGTCACCAGCCGCCCTTCTTCCCCGCGCTGACGCTGCCTCCCAACGGCGCGGCGGCGCTCTCGCTGCCGGGCGCCCTGGCCAAGCCGATCATGGATCAATTGGTGGGAGCAGCCGAGACAGGCATCCCTTTCTCGTCCCTGGGACCCCAGGCGCATCTGAGGCCTTTGAAGACCATGGAGCCCGAAGAAGAGGTGGAAGACGACCCCAAGGTGCATCTGGAGGCCAAAGAACTTTGGGATCAGTTCCACAAACGAGGCACCGAAATGGTGATTACCAAGTCGGGAAGGTAAGCCAGCAGCGAGGGGGACGCTTCCCCAAGCTCGCTTAGGTTCCCCCCTCTCTCCCCACTTGGGTCTCTGCCCCTCCAGAAGAGTAGTTGGGCAGTAATTCTGCCCCTCAGCAAAACTTAGCTCCCCTGGAACTGTGCGTGGAGACTGTCTGGCCCTGCCCGGGTGGGCACCTAGAGGTGGCAGGTTTTCCTACCTAGGTCTGCATCCTGGGCTGCCCACAGGGTAGGTAGACTTTTCAGTGTCTCTGCAGGAGGAAAGAAAACCACTCCGCTGCAGGAAATTCACTGTTCAAGCCTTTCTGGAACATCTATTTCTTTGTTGCTGTGTTTTTGTCTGTTTCATTTTGGTCTGGGAGCAAGAGAGAAACTTAAAGCCTTCCCTTTGGCTGGCTGGTGGGAGAGCTGACAGGCTCCCCTTGCCCTTTCTGCCCTTCAGCCTAGGCTCTGGGTCTGCAGGGGCCCCTGCCTGCCGCGGGCCAGGGTCAGAGAGAAACCGAAGGGCATTTGGGTTTGTTGGCCCATACCACTTCACGTGTGTGTAATCCCAGGGATGGCTCAGCAGGCAGTTTTGGATAATTCTGATTATGTCTGTAGATCCGAGGAACCACTGGGGAGAGACTCGTGCTGCTTTTGAATGTGTGTGGTTGTTAAATATATTTTACATAATGCTTAGATGGCCCTGCCTGACCGAAACCTGCCTGTCATTTAAAGTCACTAAGTTTTACGTTTCTGGCATTCAAGTTTCTCAAGGCATAAAGTTGGAAGAATTAAAAAGAAACAATCCTCCCAGCGTCTTTAGCTTTCTGTTTATTTCCAAGCGAAGGCGGCCACAGAATCCTCAGACCCAGAAGATACCTACTCAGTTGAGAATCTAGAAGGGCAGCATTGCTGGAAAATAAAACAGCAGTCAGTCGGGTGCACACACTGGCAGCTTGACTCTAGCCCGAGTGGAAGGGGATGTGGTTAGCAGCCTGCCAGACAGATAGGTTATCAGGCCCGGGAGACCACCCTCATCTGCAGAATTCGTTTGGAGAACTTACCCAGGTCCAGTTTCATTTCGCCAGCAGCGGTATCGCTGGTCCACAGCGTGAAAAGGTGTTGCTGGGTGGTGGAAAATTCTAACCTTGACTGACCACACTTGACTAAAATCCTCCGTCAAGTTGTCTAGCAGTGGGCACCCGCAGAAAAGACCAGGGCCAGAATTTCTCTATACGGAGGGCGATCTTTAAAGTAAGTCGAGAGGACAAATATATTTAAAGAAATTATTAAGCCGTCTGGAGAAATGCATTGCCACTGTTGTTTCGACTTTGGGGACACTTACAGGTAGAGAAATAGAGCAGATACAAACTTCTCTGGTGAAAGAAGCCAATGTCGTATTCCACTTGCCGTCTTCTGAAATCTGTCAGCTCATCCATCACAACAGAAAATTTAAAATTTGATTTCAACATTTTCGGAGAAGTAGGAACTCCAACCCAGATTCAGAGTGATGTTCTGTTTTCCTTTTCTCTCCTCTTGTAGGCGAATGTTCCCTCCATTTAAAGTAAGATGTTCTGGGCTTGATAAAAAAGCCAAATATATTTTGTTGATGGACATTATAGCTGCTGATGACTGTCGCTATAAATTTCACAATTCTCGGTGGATGGTGGCGGGTAAGGCTGATCCTGAAATGCCAAAGAGAATGTACATTCACCCTGACAGCCCTGCTACCGGGGAACAGTGGATGTCCAAAGTTGTCACTTTCCACAAACTGAAACTCACCAACAACATTTCGGACAAACATGGATTTGTAAGTTTCATTGCTCTTAAGTAAAATCTCCTTTCTCCATGTTAGCAAAGGCACTGATTCCCCATTTCGTGTAAAATCATGAGTTTCTGCTCAGCCTTCCCCTCTCCCTCTGTGGCTAAGCGTAGCAAACTTGTTCAATCAGCCACAGAGCCAGAGAGGATTTTCTTCGGATAATGGAAGGCCTAGCCTTCTGCAAGCAATGGGGATGAGAAAACTCCCCAGCGCCTGCTCTGTGGCAGTCCCAGGCCCATGGTAAATGCCTCAGCTGACAGTGCAGTTAAAAGCCAATCGTGGAGAATGAAAATCAGTTTTCAAAGTTATTTGCTTCTAAAGGATTGGCTTTGTGTTAAGATCTCATCTTTCTATTTTTGAAACCTGCCATATAATCTCCCGGGAGAGTTTACAGTGCGAACTTTTGACTTAACGTGGGTGAAAGAGTGTGACTACCTCTATTAGGAAAACGTACCTTTTTCTTTTACTTCAGCACGTTTGGGTACGGGAACCAGTCAGGTTTACTAGAAATGAGATGTAGATCTTGAGTGTGAAAATTGTGTGTGTTTGCGCGTGAGTGTGAGCGTCTGTAAGCCGGTGCGGGTGCTGGGAGTATCCAGGGTGCAGTGGGCGCGTGCTCACAAACTTTTAGAAGACGCGGCTCACTTGTAAAAGTCACGCAAACGACCTTTGCCCCTGCCTCTACCCCTCCCCAGCATTTCAATTAAATAAACAGAGTGATAAGCGAGGAATAAGCAGAAAGATTAGGCCCAGGAAGACGCGAATGACTAGGAAATATCCTCAGCGGGTAGGGATTCATGTGAAGCCTTGATTTGATTAAGGCATAAATATTCCCCTCTAGAGTTCAGCCTTTCAGGGCTTTAAGTGGATTGGGCTCGTCAATTAGTGGGCGCTTAAAGGACTGAATCATTTTGTAAATTAAAATGCATGTTTTTCTCTATCTTTTAAGACTTTGGCCTTCCCAAGTGATCACGCAACGTGGCAGGGGAATTATAGTTTTGGTACTCAGGTAGGCTAGGGTTCAAGGTACGAATGAACCTTAGATGGTGAGGGTGGGGGGACCCTGTGGCAATTGAGGAGCAATTTGGAGCCTCCGGAAGAGATCGGCTACGGCGCAGAATGGCCCCTAAGAGGTGTTCTGCGGAGGTGGGCCGAGTGAGGTTCCTTTTGGTGGGGGCAGCAGGCAGCCCGGCAGGGGTCCAGAGAGCCCGTTTGTCTTGCTGAAGGCTTTCTTTCCGTCTCTCTCTGCTCCTCCCCGCCCTGCAGACCATACTGAACTCCATGCACAAATACCAGCCCCGGTTCCACATCGTGCGGGCCAATGACATCTTGAAACTTCCTTACAGTACATTTCGGACATACTTGTTCCCCGAAACCGAATTCATCGCTGTGACGGCATACCAGAATGATAAGGTAACCAAAGGCGCTCTTTATGCCTGGTGGTAATTTCTCCCCCCTTTTACGCTGCTTTGGGTGAGGGTGAGAAAGTTACCAGTTGAATTAGGCTGAGAATCTGAGTTGCTTTGGGGATCTGACTTAAGTGAAGATTTGGGGGGAAAGCGGTGTTAGCACATGGTCGGGGGGAGGGCTGCACCTTTTAAGAATCCGATGCAAAGTGAAAAAAAAGATAAATCATACTCTGCCCGGGAGACGCCCCTCTAACCAAATGTGCCACCCACCCCTAGTTTTCTCCAGCTTGTTCATTATCCTCCTGTTCAGGAAAGAGAATCAAGAACCAAGTTCCAACAGAACCAGCTAAAAACTAAAGGCAAAAACCTTACGGGGTTCTGGGACCAGTATCCCAGTGGAGACCAGCATTTCTCCCCTTGCCAGAAATCCCGAATAGCTGGTCTGGTTTTTATTACCTTTTATGCTGCTGTGTTTTTTATGGTTTGTGTGTGTGTGTGTGTGTGTGTCTGTGTGTGTGTACGTATGTGTATGGTTGGAAAAAAAACGTACTCTGATCACAGGGTCAGGCTGATCGAGTTGTCTGAGGCTTCTGAGATGCAGTGACCCAAGTCGCCACGTTATCTGAAGATTTTTTTTCTCCCTTGGGGCTGAGGCTGGGGATTAGGAGCGCCCCCAAAATGACACAGCAGGCAGCACCTGATATGTAAAGTTATCACCCTGGCCCAAAGGTCATGGGCACTAAGCACCGAGACAGAGAAAGTGACTCTTGCTGCTGATTCTCCCGTCCCTGGACGGACCCTTAGCAGCAGTTATGGGGTAGGGGGCAGTGAGGACCCCTGCTCTGTAACTATGGAACCCTGGACCTCTGTAAGAGTCAGTTCACGGGACACCTTGCATTCTGAACTTATTATCACTATGGGTGGATCCTCTGTGTCCAGCCTATGGGCAAGTTGTAAGCCTGTCCCCTTAGTCTGGAGACCAAGACCTGGAGACCTGGCCTGCCTACAAGTTTGCATAAAGGAATTTACTCCTAAAGCAAGAATCCCACCAAGTGGCCCTCTCTCCACCTCTGGGCAATTGCTTATATCATTTCCCCACCCACCTCGCTCCTGCCCCCAAAGGGAAGGGATTTGAAAAATTATATACTATGGCATTTTTTTTTTCTTCAGTATGCTCCATGTGTGAGCCGGCTGGACCCAGAATTCTGTGACTCTAAGTTTGTGCCTCTAGGTTGTTAATGTAATAATAAAATGTAGCATTTTTGATCAGACAAAAGAGGTCACAGGCCTTCTCCACCTCATGGCCATGGCAGAGCATATAAATGAAAACAAATGTTCCCAGTGGTCAGCCAGTCCTTTTAAATCTGTAATTGTCAATATTGTAATTCCTCAAACACCCCTCCACCCCCCCCAGCCAAAAAAAAAAAAATCAAACCCACTCTTGCAACAGGGTAGTGAAATCCCATAAATCATTTTATTAGATTCACAGAAAAGGTTGGAGTGTGTGCTGTGTGTGTGTGTGTGTGTGTGTGTGTGTGTGTTTGGGGGCAGGAAATATGCCATAACATATTTTATGATTAATTGCACTGTATAAAAAAATCAAAATGAAAGCATAATTCTAAGCTCTACATTGTATACCTGAAACTAATATAAAGTTGTGTGTCAGTTATGCTGCAATAAAAAAAAAAATACTGCAGGTCTTCCCTTTGACAACTTTTCCATTTCTAAGCCCAAGCTGTCAGCCGCCCAGAGAAAAGGAGACATTTCCCAGGCGGGATCGTTCCAACCTAGAATCCCTGGTGTGGCCTCTGGTGGGAGACACAACACAGTCCAGCCTCCTTGGATTTTCCTTGGTTCCTTCCAAATTCGTGCTGTTACCCTATTGTAGCACGTCCAAATTGCTGAGAGACTATGGATGGGGGCAGACCCCCCTGAAGCCCCCGAGAATATGAGGCCAACATCTCTTTCTTGCTTGTGTTTTCTCCTCTAGATAACTCAGTTAAAAATAGACAACAACCCATTTGCAAAAGGTTTCCGGGACACTGGAAATGGCAGGAGAGAAAAGAGGTGAGCTGAGAAGATTGTTTCTTTCAGAGACAATTTAGAGAATACTTTTCTAGGTCCTGAGTCTCACTTGTTGCAAGTGGGTAGTTCCATTGAAAGAAGGGGTGGGGAGGGGGGAAAAGAATTTACCCTACGTCGCCTCACAGTTGTGGATTTTCAGTACACCGAATTTTTTTCTCCGTCCTGCATGTGACCTTAAAGGATATTAACGAGGCCACATCATAGACCTCTTTGCAAGAAAAGCGTCAAGAACAACACATTATATATAGGCTCCTATTAATTCCTAATTAATTTAGGCTCAGGGTGGGCAAGTCCCAGGAAAGGGCTGAACCATTCACAAAATGCTTTGGAATTTTGGCAATCTTGTCTTACAAATACCTTCAGACGGGGACTGAGGCCCCTTGAGAAATCTATGGCTCCCTCCATTCGTGGGTACATGTATCATTTTGCAGTAAGCAGACAGCTGGAGAGTATATGAAAGAAGCCCTCCCCTCCCCCACCAGCCTTCAAAGAATTTCTAAAATCCAGAAAATCACCCCCAAATTTCTAACCCATCCCCTTGGGGAGGGGATGGGCATTAAAAATCATTCCTAACATCTAAATAGATTTTTTTCAACTCTGATTAATGTGTTGATGAACTGATTACTGTAAAGTGCACCATGAAATAAGCACTTCCTCCCAACCTTAACAACCGGTCTGGAGTTTGCAGGCTGTCTGTGTTCCCGGTTCGCGGACGCAGGACTCAGGCTGTGTGGTTGCCTCTGGCCAGCCCCAGCCTTCCCTCTTGGTTTTTGCTCTTCAGCAAGATTTCTTCACAGCTCCAGCCACTGCCTTTCCCTGATGAAACCCTGATCTTGAATAAATGCAACCCTGTCTCCCTCCACCCCCAGTCTGCAGCCCAGTTAGGGGGTCGAGAACAATGCCTGGGTCTGTGTGTGGTTGGCTCCGCAGAGAATGTGTGCTGCCCGCGGGGCGCTGGGCGGCTGGCAGGGGCAGCAGCGACCTGGAAAGATGTCCCCTCTGTAACACTGGGTGTGGGCTTCTGCCACAGAAAGCAGCTCACCCTGCAGTCCATGAGGGTGTTCGAGGACAGACACAAAAAAGAGAATGGCACCTCGGATGAGTCCTCCAGCGAGCAGGCTGCCTTCAACTGCTTCGCCCAGTCCTCGTCCCCAGCTGTCTCCACCGTGGGGACATCCAACCTCAAAGGTAAGCCCGGTCCCCTCCGAGTTCTCCATGCCATGTCTTGGAGGCTGGAAGGGTTTGGGACAGGAGGCTACCCACCAGGGAGCTTACCCTTCCAAAGCCAAGACTCTTCTAGAAGCCTGTAAACCGGAGTCAGAGTTCAAAAGGAGAATCAGTTGTGTCCCCCTCCCTAAGCTGGCTTGGAGAGCTCAGAACCGCTCCCCACAAACCTGGATTTGGCTGCAGGGTAGGGAGGGGTGTCTGTTTTCCCTCTGTGTGAGAAGCAGCTTCTACAAAGGTGCCTTCTCTCTCCCTCGGCAACCAAACTTCTCACCATCGTTGCATTCTGGGATTGAAATGTGCTAGGGTGCTCTCCACCTGGAACAGGGAAGGTGGTCCATGAAACACCCAGCTAGGGGACCTCCACGACCTGTGAGAGCAGAGGCGGGGTGGGATCTCCCGGAGGGGAGGGGGGAGGGAGGGGAGAGGAGTAGCTGGTTCAAATCCCCAGTCGGTTTCCTGTGTTTAAAGAGCAAGAACTATTTATTTGGAAAGACACACACACTAATGGGAAGAAACCTGTTTTGTAAGTGAATAAAATGAAAGCCCTTTATGTCTTCAATCCACTTAAGCTTTAAACATAAAATAGGGCCCCCTTTTCTTTTTTCCCCTGGTAGGACACACACAGAGGGTGTGGCCATGGCCCAGGCTGAGTGCAGGCTGCTCTAGTGGGCCTGACTGTGGAGCAGGGGCTGACAGGCTCTTGGCCATTACCTATTCAGACGCCCTCGTTCCCTCCCGATAAATCCTTTGGAAAGAATTCATAAATTGGAGGGTGCTGAGCTCCTAAACAAAGGAGTCACAGGAAGGTGATTCTCAGAGTCAGTTTTAAATCTTTCCAAGAGTGAATCTGCAAGTGAATGCGGAAGGCCAGGAAAGGCTTTGCCCCCCTGACCTTGAAGAGAGACTTGTAAAAAACTGGAAAATTCATTATCACTAAAAGCTACCGCGGGGTGTCTGTAGAGGAGGGGCTGTCCCTAAGTACTTTACATTCGGGTTTGGCTTGTAGAATCCTTCCGCTAAAGTTGGGAGGGTCATCACTCCCATTTTGCGGATGAGAACACTGAGGCACAGGCTGTACGGGGCGTCCCTCACTGGCACAGCCAGTGAGTGTCGCCGAGCCGGGGCTCCAAGTGGGGGCCCGGAGTTGGCCGGCCCGGATGGAGTAACGCCCCTCCGCCTCTCCGTGTTTCCCTCCTGCGGCAGATCTGTGCCCCAGCGAGGGTGAGAGCGACGCCGAAGCCGACAGCAAGGAGGAGCACGGCCCGGAAGCGTGCGACGCGGCCAAGATCTCCACCACCACGTCGGAGGAGCCCAGCCGGGACAAGGGCAGCCCCGCGGTCAAGGCGCACCTCTTCGCGGCCGAGCCGGGCGGCCGGCCCCGGGACAGCGGGCGGCTGGACAAGGCGTCTCCCGACTCGCGCCACAGCCCGGCCACCATCTCGTCCAGCACGCGCGGCCTGGGAGCCGAGG